TGAGAACACGGAGAGGTTGTAATCACAAGGAGGGCATTAAAAGGGTATATAATGCCTTAAAAAGGGCTTGTGTGCAGTCTCGTTTGGGCCAAGGAACAGAGTGCGTGAACAACGGTGGAATGTGTGTGGATCCAAAATGTGTCTGAGTATGATCGAAGTCTCAACACCCAACTTGGCCAACAGCAAGACCAGACGGAAAGATGTCTGCCAGCTGCGTTAGTCACCGTCAGAACAGCAGTTGTTTCGTTCATTGCGCTTCTGTTAGGACGATTGTAATTTCGGTTAAAGGTAAAGAGATCAGTATGGTTGTTTTTGAGTTACAATGTATACCCTGGACATTATTCTATTTCATGTTCCGGCTGAGGAAAGGCGAGTGGAAGAATAAAATGCAGAAATAGTCTTGTGTTGTTTCCAATCGTCCATTTTCAGCTCGTCGTGTTGATGTCGGTGTGTGAAATAGAAATCTGCAGTGACTAGAGCCAGAAAGAAGAAAGAATAGAGAGTCATTGCATGAAATGGGAGCTTCGTCCAAACAACAGAGGATGGAAAATTTGTTTCGGACAACTTTGACAAGTTGGACAAATTTGGTGTGTTTTTAAACATCAGTGTGTTGAAATGAGGATGATCCTGCGAAAGACCCAGTAAGCCGGTAGGGAATTTTTTTTGATCACGTGAAATTGCTCAAGAATTATGGAGAAATTGAAAGAAAAACCGTGATTCAGTCAGTGTTCACCTCACACACACAAAGAACAAACCAGTTTTCGATAGCCAGCCAGCGACAACAAACGATTGTTTTAAAACTAACGACGGCAGGTAGCAAACTACCACAAAATTCAGAAACAGACAGAAGGTATTCGGAATTTTTAATACAGCCACGAAAATAAGAATCGACAACATTAAAGACGCCTTGTCCCTTCACAGCATGACAATAGCCAGTGGCGGTCCGTGTGCACTGGATCAGAAAATATTCCTCCCCAGACCCCAAGGCGTTTAACGGCAGAAGTGATTTATGATGGTGGAAGGTTCATTCAAATCGAGGGGGTCGACTTTACTGCGCCGGATTTTATTCCAGGTAACTGGGTCTTTCTCCGTCGAACCGCCTGCCGAAAGCATCGTACGAATTGCAAACCCAATAGCTTCGGCAACCCAGGAATCACCAGGGATCTTCTTTAAAATTGCACTAGTGAACCAATCGACGACGCCGTGAATCGAATCCACGACCTTCAGGGAATTAGGTAAACGGCTGAACTATTTCGTCCCGGACACCCTCCCCCTTTCCTCCCCCCCCCACCCCACCCCAAGCCCTGTGAAATTTAAAGGCCCCATTCAAGGCCACAGGTGCATCAGGGAAGGGGTGTGTCAATATCTGCGGAATGTAAAACGGGTTTGCGTGCCCTATTCTTAACTCCTTTAAAGTTTATGTGTCACTTGTTTTGTTTCTTACCCGATAACTTCGAGCCTCCGTGTCCATGTACTGTTTGAATACTATGCCAACGTCTGCCATGTTCTATTGCCGACAACCGCGTGCCACTACACCTTGATTGAATTCGGTTGTTTCCCTTATTTTGGCTAATGATGTAAAAAAAAAAAAATATCAACAGTATGAATAACGCGATAAATGTTAAGTTATTTACGTATGTCAAAAAAGGTCATTATTTAGTTACTAAGGAAGCAATTATAGGCTTTGAACTAGAAATCTGATGGCAAGATTCTTAGAAAACCATGGACTGAGCAGAAACAAAAATACTGACCTCTAAAAGATCCGAACATCAAGGAAGTTTGGCTAGTCAACAGCATCTTGTCTCGAATACTGAACAATTGTTGCCATCTCAAGCGCCATGGCGGATTGTGCTTTCGAGGTGCCATGAGACAGTGTCTCTTGCTAAATAAATAGACAGTGATAATTGCTTTCTTTGTTAGTTAATTGGGTTATCGTCATTGCACTCCGGGCATTTCCATAGATGCTTAGATCCTCCCCTCAGTATAAAACCTAGTGTCCAGCGGCTGATAGTGCTAGTTCTAAGTTGATTAATAAGTCCTGTGATGTATATGGTGTCCGTCTCATTTTTGTTGCTATGCTAGTCTTAACTCCCTGACGACTGTTGTGGATTCACTGCCTCCTAAGCCTTCTACCCTTCCCATTTCTCGGGCATTATTAACCTTAGCATCATCCATAGGTTGACCGCCTGTAGTGATAGCAAATCCAGCCAACCTGTCAACTGTTTCATTTCCATAGACGCTCAGGTTATAAAATTGTTTCTTTAATATCTAAAATAATTGAAAACAAATCAGTTGGCAATACACATCCTTGTCGTACACCCTTCTTTATGCTTTGAAATGTACTGAAACAGTTGTTAATTCTTATAGCTGCTGTTTGCTGCCAATACATATTCCTTATTATTCTTTTCCATCAATGTTTAATTTTTCTAACAGTTCCATTACTTCTTCATGCTTCACACAGTGAAATGCTTTTGTATAGTCTATGAAGCATAAGTACAAATCAGTCTTTACCTCTAAAGCTCTTTCTGACAATGTCCTTAGGATGTATATGTCATTGGTTGTACCTTTTCCTTCTACAAATCCACATTGTTCATCGCTGATTTCTGGTTTAATTTTGTTTCTTGTTCTTCTCATAATTATTCTCAGTAAAATCTGAGTCATGAAGTCCTATACTTTTTCTTTTCTTTTATACTTTAAAAAAAGAAAAGCTCGTTTTACAGCGACTTCCGCCCCCTTGGATCATTGATTGCTTCAGTGGGAAGACGTGTGGTAGAGCCTCCTGACTTTAGTATAACAGCTGGCGGTCAGCTAAGTCAAACGTAATCTGTCTGAAGCAATTGTAGATGATTATACTGATTCCCCGCTAGAGTTCAAGGTGGATATCTTGTTTGTCAAGCCTGTTCTTGAAGCGTTCAACATCCTCTATGTGTGGATCACTGGTGGCTGATCAGGCAGTCAGAGGAAACTAGAACATCAGCTAAGTGGCAACTCTGGCCACCGAGAAAGAAAACCTCCCTCGCGTTGTCAAATGATTTTATGTTTATTTTGATTGTTGAATAACAAAACAGTTCAGGTCTTTTTATTCATTACAATATTAATGAGTAAGGGAATTCCTAGTTTTTGAGTCCTTTCAATTTATATTAATTTTTTTTTTTTTTTTTTCAGTGAACGCAACCAGTGGTTTAAGATAATATATTTAAACTTTACCCCAGGAGATCTATTGTCGGCAGTTACCGAACCCTTCTCCTTTAACCTGTTAGGTTGGGAGAGATAATATTTTTTAGGGGAAGATTCCCAGACTGAACTTCTGGGTATATTGTCTGTCTGAGAGGTCTGTCTTTATAAGCTTTTCTGGCTTTTCCTTGTGAAGTGACCCTCTCAGCAGCACTATTTTCTGTGTCCATCCTGTGTGTACAGATGGAGCATTATATTATATTTCACAGACGCAGACACACACGCAGATGGACACACAGAGAATTTCACACACAGACATATATAAACAGATACCACACGGACACACACACGGACACAAAGGGACACACACAGATACACAAGCAAACACACACACAGACACACACTCATACAGACATACACACAGCCACTCATGCAGACACACACGCAGACACATACAGACACACACATATATTTATACAACAAACACACACACACACATACACAATGACACACACACACGCACCTAGACACACACACACATGTATACAGTTACCCATACACACACTCATAGATACACATAATCATACATACACAAACACACATACAAAAACACACCACACATACACGCATACATAATATCATAATAGGTGAGTTGCGTATCCTTTACAGGACGTTGCAGAACCAACCCCAACAGTCCCTGGCTGTCGTGTGGTTTTCCAAGGCAAATTTACGTCCAGTAGTTTTAATATCAATAATAACTGATCTAATTATAAATGATAGTGCAACATGGATTAATAACTACATTTAAGGTGGCATATAATCACCTGTAAGCATGAACTGAACAAGCCTGGGGTTAAATGAATAGAAGCTCTTTGTATTTTTAAGATCAAGTGGAAGATGGTTCCACAAATGAGCAGTAGAATATGCTAAACCTGTTTTACATAAATCTGTTCTTCGTTTAGGCAAATGTAATAAACTTAGTTGCTTGATTTTTTTCTAGGACTGAATTTAATCAACTGAATTTAATCAAAAGAGACTGTGAGAAGTATAGAGGAGTTTGCGTTATTGAACATCACCGGGAAAATGTTTTGTAAGATCCTTGAAAAAAAAAAAAGCTACGTCCTATCATCGAACCACAACCTAGTGAAGAAGCGATGAGATTTCCGAAGAACAGAAGTTGTACTGATGCCATATTCACGCTTTGACAATTTATGGAAAGGACGGTAAAATGTGTCGCATTCGTAGACCAAGAGAATGCGTTCGAATGAGTTAATAGGAATACATTTTAAAAGGCGCCACAGGATTACGGAGTAACGAATATCTTTTTAAATTGTGCAAGTGTTTATAGGTGAACAGTCAACGCACAGTTACAACCATACAGTAAACATACAGTTAGAACAGACATGTAAGAAAAGTTATACATTAGAAGTTAGGTGAGACAAGGCCGCGTTCTATCACCACTCCCGTTCACCACATACGTTGACCAAACTTACAAATCAGCTAACACCAGTGAAGAGGACAACATCGGAGAATTACTAAGTTGCTTTTCGTCAATAACCAGGCAATCATAGCACCAACAGCAGTACAACAACAAGAACATACTAATGGAGTCCCCTCAGAATGCGACTATGAGATTCAGATCAACGTAGGCAAAATAGAAGTGATGACATTATCCAGAGAAGAAAGAACCACCAACATAAAAATCGATGAACATTATTTGTAGCAGCTCAAGGATTGTACATATCTGGGGAGCAGCTTTTCAGAAGACAGAAGGATTCATAAAGAAATCCTATTCTGCTACAGCGGGAAGCCGGAGACGAAGTAGGATGAAGTTCAACAAGGCTGTGTCGGGATCTAGACCTAAATGGGCCCTGAATTTCAATGCTCCCTCTCATATCAGGAGGGAAATAATGAGTTACCTCCTCCCAAAAAAGCTCAGGCAGAAATACAATGTCAAGAAGTGTGCCTATAAGAAAGGATGATGAAGTAACCGTTGTTCGTGTACACGACAAGGGACAGCAGACAGGAAAGGTGACTCAAGTCTACAGAACGAAATGTGTAGTCTGTATTGAACGAATCAAGTGTGAGAAAGCAAACGGCTGCAGCTGTCCATGTTGGTATCCATCCTTCAAAGGTTGTCATTGTTAAGTTGAAACTAGACAAGGATCGTAAGAAGATTCTGGAAAGAAAGGCCATGAGCAGAGCCAAGTATCTGGCAGAGAAGGGCAAGTAAACAGAGGAAACCATGGAAAGCTGATTGCATTCTCTTTAATAAAGTAAAAAAAAAAAAAAAAAAATCCAACATAGATCCCAAAAACAAAACAAAAAAAGTTATAAAACAGCCGAGTTTTCTGAGCTGACAGCAGCAAATACCTCTGTAAACTTTGTCTACAGCTACCTGTAGCTCTTTGGCTGTCTGTGGCCTATCACTCCCCTACCTATATGCAATAACATCATCTGCGAATGTCAATCACTATCCTTCCAACACCTGGTGCTTCAAGTTCTTCAATCCTGCTTGTATAGACATTGAAGAGCACTGGTGAAATCGCAGAACGTTGGGGTTGTCCCGGGGCGATATTTCAAAGGTATCTATAGTGAGCATACTAAATGTTACTAGAATCGGTCCTTCAGTTTCCAAAATACTAAAATATGTTAATGTTCATGAATTTCTAAACGGACTATACAACTTCTCTGCCCCGATGTGGTATCGCTAGATGTCCAGAACATCCGTTTGGTCGACGGCTGCCTGCCTTCAGCCTGCTCCTAACCCCGGTTCGCCCCGCGGCCTCATGTAACTCACGTCGCCCCGGTGACCTATAGCACTTAGTTCGTGTTCTGCTAGCAATCCCAACATTTTTTCGATCTCCACCCCCACCAAGATCTTGACACTGGGTGAAAACCAGCTGGTTTATTGCCAGGTTTCTAAGTCATTATTGAACCAAAACTAAGGTAGGATGTTCGTATATAAACTGACACAATCAATAAATTAATCAGCCAACTGCTTACTATTCTCAAACATGCGAATAAACAACACTAACACGGTGCGTTCATAGTTAGCACTCACTAGAAAACTAATTCATTAAAACAGACCATGCATGCACCTTGTCATTTGTTTCTACGAAAATAGACGATAAAATAATGTAACACCGGACTTGCAGACAACAGGGCAACTAAAATTAAGGAGACCATTAAAAAGAAGAAGAAAAGCGAAATTTAATGACCCATTTTCCAATCTTGGAGAATTTGGTGTTAGACCAGTATTTTGGAATCCAGCTAGCAACTCAGCATTAGCAAGTCGACATTACAGACACTCACCTGGATATACTGTCTGGGATAAGCAGGAGTACTAGGGTATGAAAGAGCAGATTTTTTGGGCTAAAAAATTTATAGCTTTAGGAACATTGGTACTGGACAAAGAACACATTCCGCAGATCATTTATGAACGAATGCTGATACAAGACACCAGATTAAATAACACGTGTAAGAATATGTATACGTGAAACTATGAGTGGATCCGGTGTAGAGGGACATACGAGAGGAATAGAAAGACGTGTGTATGATCAGTTTTCTACGAGAAAACTTAGCATCTACACCTTAAGACAAGTAAGAGAATGAGCATCTATGGGTATGCCCGGTGTGCTATGACGTTGATTCTTAAATGAGTAAACAGCTACCACCCGGGCGTTGTGGACAACATCATGTCGATCGTTTCACTTCGCGTGACACCTCCTGGCATCCGTGTTAGGCTCTACGACCCCGGATTCAATCTCGGTTTTAGAATCTTTGTCTATGAAAGTTTCCAACTCCTAACAACTTTGACTCCAGACTGTCCTTTCAGCTGCTGCTCTGCTAGGGGCTGCTAGTTAGGGCCTCTGAGACAATCTATGGGTTGCGGGAATGGGAGTCCGTGGAGGGGGGGGGGGGAATAGGGCGGGCTGAGCCCTTTTATAATTTTTTATAGGGGTGAGGCTTGAGGTTTAAAATATTTTCAGTGACCTATGATTATGAAAATTGTTGCTTTTATGTTATTACTATTTTATCTGCTGACTGGCACCAACATGTAATAATACATTTAAAAAATGAAATTAATACGTGAATGGAGAATATCTTTATATGATAAAGGGGAACTATTAAATCCGTATGCAAATTTTCTAGGAGTTGTGGGAAAAAAAGTGGGGGGGGGGGGGGAAAGAGAAAATCGAGTACAATGTACCTGAATCACCAGATTCCGGCGCAAAGACTGGGGAGGTAACACAAGAGACAAACATGGACAAATGTTTCACACACGAACGACAGAAGTTGAGGGAAGAACCATATACAGGATCACTAAATTTGTAAAAAAGGGTAAACATGTTGATTAGTCAGTTAGTCGACAGATCACTATCCCTGTTCATTGAATCATGCAGTCCATTCGTGCTGTGTTGTCCTCCTCAGTTAATGCCACCGTTTAGCCACTGACGATTCCATTTCTGTGTTGGTTTATTCTTCTTCTTTGACTGCTTGTATAGTGCTCTTCCTTGGCCAAACCCCGTTTACTTCGCTGGTGTTGAAGTCTGGCAATGTTTGCAGATTCAGCCTCACTTGGTTCTGGCAGACGTTTTACTTCTTGTAGAACACTCAGTTTTTCAGCATGGTTTACGACTCGCCCTTGTCCATAGTAGCCATACCTGCAAGCCTATCTGCATGCTCATTTCCTCGTACACCCGTATGCCCAATCACGAAAATGAAACTGGTCTTCGTCAGCTGTGACCGCCTCATAGAAATCAACCAGCTTCTTAGGACCCAACCAACTCCTATCTTCCTGAGCATACTCAATAAATAAACATGTGAACGATTTTCAAGAAACTTTTAAAATTGTTTATGAAGGTTTACACGGAATATACCCGGAATCGCCACCACTCCCAGACAAAACTGACATTATCTTCTAATGTTACACCTACCGCCAGTAAACAAGAACGATTTTACAGTGTAATAATGATTCATTATGTGTATCATCTGATACGTTGCTGACTGGCGTTGGCGATAATACCTCTCCACAGTTTGCAAAACTGTGAGCTAAAATTGTAAACATGTTTTGTAGCGCTCCTGTCTTCTAGGTTGATCCAGCCTTAAACTGGTACCAGGTAGTCAAGACGACCAGCATGATTGTGGCCACATCAGCCACCCAGTACCGACGGATCTATATGTCCTTGACGCCTGCAGGTGTGGACCAGGGCCTTTTACTTTACTAATTGTCCAGTAAAGGTTGGGCGTAGCGGTAGCACGACCCCATGTCGGACAAGTGAACTTGTACTGGAATCCGACTCAAGGTGATGATAAATAAATATACTTGTGTTCTTGAGGTTTGAGATTTGAACAATGAATCAACATGATGGCACACGCGTAGTAACCAATAAGTGCTCCGTTTCTTTTTTAACTCAAGTCTGAGACCGAAGAAGCTCAGCACAGTGCACATGCTCTGTAGCACTGGCGAGGATCCTAGAATACTTTGGGTAGATTTTTAACTCTAAATTTTGCCCTCGGAGCGCCGTTAGGCTACTATTTTCGATGTCAAACTCCCATGGGATTTTTACGTGCGCAACAATGCACACGGGCGTCCTATCTCACTACCCAGAGACCAGGGGGAATTACTAGAAGTCCAAGTCCACGTGAAAAAATCCCAGCCCTTATCGGGGATTGAACCTGGAACCTCTAGCACTCGAGGCGGACAATATGCCTCAAGACTACACAGCCCCCTTTACATGTGTTCTCTGTTCACTGAAAGTTTTCAGAAGTTATAGTTACAAACACTAACTGGTGCACAGCACGGTTACATGTATTTGGGTTCTGGCATCAAAGACAGACTTGATGACTGTTGCAGACATCAATAAATTGTGCGAATTTTTGTTTCAGTGACCGCCTTACTTTGAAGAATTACCTAATCGGTACTGATTTTATGGTTGTGTGCTCATCTCCCGAAACTTGTACGAGAAATCAAAAAGTCACAGTGAAAACTAAGTCTCTGTTATACGCAGTGTGCCGTGGTGTAGCGGCTAGTCCTTTGCGCAGGTTGGAAGCTCGTGGGTTAAAATCCGCATCGATTTTCTTTTTTTTTTAAACTAAATGACTTTGGCTCTCTAGTCGACCCAGGCGGTTATATATCAAAAAGTACTCAATGGAAACCGTAAAGAGGTGTTAGACTACGCCCGCATGATAAACAACTGCAAAAACGCCGCTGTCTTTGACCATACTTCGGCATGTTCGATTCATGTCAGTAATGTAACATTTGTTTCGTTACCTAACTAAACTATGCAAGTTATGAAAAAAAAAAAAGAAAGGAAATTGACTGTTTTGATAAAACTCGGCACTCTGTATATTATTTATGTTAAAACTTTAACGTCGAGATGAAAATAGAAGCTCGTGAAAACAAACAAAAAATAATTTAAAAAATTACGTTTCTCGGATAAGTGGTTACCCAGAAATTATCGAAAACGCAAGGACATGGATTAGAAAACGCACTATGGACCTAGATTACACGAGTACAGCGAGGTAAACCACTGTGCACCATTCGCTCGAGATGTTATCTGTTTGTCAGCGAATCACCAAGGAAGGATAATATAACTATTGGCAAAGGAACAGGTAGGGACACAGCCATTGATGTGGTACAAGAACCCACTTCCAGCCACTAAAGATGGAGCCTGAAACACAGTCACAATAACAACTAAAAGTTACTTTTTTTTCCAAAGGAGCTGGTTGAAAGAGGTAAGATGTTTCGGGGATTTTTTTTCTCATAGCAAAGAGCGAGCAAGCAAGTGCTTTCTTACAAAAGGAGTGATAAGACAAAACTGGTAGACTCCAAGCCCCCAGAGGAAAGGCAAGATATATATATATATATATATATATATATATATATATATATATAATATATATATATATATATATATATATCTACGTATACATATAATTTCAGATGTAACTAACACAACAAGAAATGGAACTGGGCTGGCAAAGGACGGTGGGCACATGGCTCTAGTAGAGATGACCATAGTCCAGCGACGCCTGATCTCAACTCAGATCAGCTCACATGCTAGGGCAAACGATCAATCAATCAGTGAGTTGCCCTTTCCACAGTGAAATTTGGCTTAAATGGATCTCTAACATATTCTGTCTCCTGACTTTAAAGTACACTCTCCCAGACTGCTGTTCGTTCATCTCTTGGTATTTTCCTCCCACATGTATCGTTGTCCACCTCTT